TAACGAAACCTTTTTCACAGCAGACAAAAATGTGTTGATCAATGATTCCATTGATATAGATAGTAATAGCAAAATGATGATCAATCAAACGATACGATTTGAAAGTGAATTCATCTAGAAAAGGGTTGACAGCCATCGCTAATGAATACCGATAAATACTTTACTACCATTGGGTTTTAGGCACCCTTTGAAAACCGACTTAGTGCCAATCATAGTGTGAGATTGAAGAATTAAAATTTCATCAGCATAAATTTTAAACTTATAAGGACCATTGGATGTCACTATTTGTGGTCCAAGATACATCATTGTTACCGCGCAAGAATTGTCAGGAATACTTGCAGATGTATTCTAGAGCAGCCAGTGATAAATGACGAGAAAAATCTTTCATTTATTTTATCTTACGTCATTCGATGATGACGGTTCTTTCGACTTGTTCATAGAAGAGTTTTTTGCAGATCGATCAACAGCTAAAACTCTAGAAAAATTTTTTGCTAATATAAACCATTATTCGCCGCATCTTTCACATTTACTGTTTATTCTCAATCGTAGTCATTGGTTCGTGATATATCTAAAATAATATGAATGATAGAAAAACAGACAAATATGTGAGTAGTCTTGAAAATCAATGTAAGTCAGTTGATCGACATTTATTCAATCCTATGCCGATAAAACTTGCTTGAGCCATTGTTTTTGACGAATAATCTCTAATTGAGCTTGATTTTCTTTTAATTCTGGATGATTCTCTGAGATCATTCTTAAATATTCGACTGATTTTTCTGCACATGCCACAGCTTCATCGTAGTCACCGATACGTTCATAAGCAGTTGAAAGATTATAATAAGTGACAGACAATGGATGTGGTAATGGATTTGGCAATTTAAGCTGAAGATCCAATGTTTTTTTATAGTAGTCCAATGCTTCCTTGGCTTCCTTTGTGCGCCAAAAGCAGGTGGAAATTTTCTGAAAAATCGAAATCAAACGTTTTGTATTGTCTTTCATCGACATTTTCTCTAGAATAATCGCTGCTCGTTTTAGATGTTTTGTTGCTTCAGTATAATTCTTTTGATCTATATAAACTGCACCAATATTTGCCGAATATGTCGCTACAGCATCTATGTCAGGACTTGATGCTTTTAATTGACATTCAAGAGCCATCTCATAAAATTTAATTGCAGATTCATGATGATCATCTTGATAGAACATACTACCAATATTGTTATAACTAGATGATAACACTAAATGATTATAAGGTAAAAATAATTGAAATGCACGTAACGATTTAAAGAACTGATAACGTGCTGCTTCAAAATTTCTTCTAGCTTCATCGACATTGCCTAAAAGATGATGTGCAGCCGCTAAACTTGTCAATAATGTTCCATCACTTTCAAAAGATTTATCTTGGTAAATTGATTCAGTAAGATAATCAACTTCCCAATAATGATCAGTCTCTAGAAGAAGTTTTGTTAATTGCAGAATGACCACTGGTGCTTTCATTTTTTTTCTTAAAAATTCAGTTAGTTGTTGAAAATGAGAATCATCACGTGGAACAGACTCTAAGTTTACTGTATGAACTTCATTCTCGCTTTCATCCATGGAAACTACACGAAAAACAGTATCGATATTGATCAAAACGTCGATTTTGCAATTAGAGCAACGCAACTGTTCAATATTAGCTGCACAGTCGGATTCAAGTCGAATTGAAAAAACAAGATATCGTTGTGTGTCTTTACTTTGATACTCCATTAATGTTGGTCGTTCGAATGTTGCGGGAAGAAATGAACGAAATAAAACTAATCCATTAACATTTTCTTGAAATTTTCGAATGGTTTCTTGTTCGATATCTAAAATAGTATAAACAGTGGTCGGTTCTTTGATAGCAATTGATTGGATTTGTTTATGAAGACATTGAATAAAATAACGCATTTTAAATAAAAGATCAATTTCTTGTGTACGAAATGCACGTGATAAAATTTTAGCCAAGAAGCAATGGCGTGTATACCATTGAATACTATATGTGTCGGTAAAGGATTTTTCAAATTCATCTATCTCATGGACTTCATTTTGATTATGGGCATAGTGAATGCGACAAAATGCCAGCATATCTTTTCTTAAATCACTTTCATCATCTTGACAAAGAATCGTTTCTTTTAATAGTTGACAGTAAGTAAATGGCAGATCACAAGTACTATCTTTCGATGTGATTTCCATTGAGATTACTCGAGAAGAAAAATGACATAAGGTTTTGATTAAATGATCACAAATTGATTCAATATTTTGATAAATTTCAATGACTTTCTCATAATTATTGATCGATTCAGGTGGCTGTGTCTGTTTCGATAGGAAATAAATTGATTGAATAGATTTGTGCTCTTGAAGCACTGGAAGAACTGCTTCGGCTTGATTAAGAGACATCACAACAATGAACTTTTCTTCTGCACATGCTGATAGCAATGTTGCTAATGTGTTTGAATCATTCATTATACGTATAAAATTTACTGTAGAACGAAGAAGACTTAGATCTTTCTCTTTATCTTGATCGATGTATAGAATGGTAAAATTCTCAACATTGCCAACGTGTCGAGGTGGAATTGTTTGGCTAAGTTTAGGTTTTGATAAAGCTACAATAATGAAGTTGATATCAAAGAGAAATCATTCGAAATCACTAGACAATTATACCTTGTTGCATGATGTCGTTGACGTATTTAAGCAGAGTAGATTCATTATCAGCTGACTCGACTTGCATTCTGGAAACAGAAACTGATGGGTCTATGACAAAAGGTGAATATCTTTTTTGTCCCCTATTTTCTCAGATCGAAAAATTGTCAAAGGAACAAGATGATAGTTACCTTTTTGGGTAGTGGTTTTATGAACAGTCGATAGCGATGGTGGCAGAGAAGGAGGACCAGCTGCAGCTTGAGGTTGATGCGAAACAGCTGGTGGAAGCGGAAGTGATTGAATTTTGGGAGTTGAGACAGACTTTTCAGGAACTTTTTTCGTGTCTATAAGGAGAAGTCCTCGACTATCGTTATTATCATTACGAACTACCTGTGGATGATGATGGGGGATCAACTGAGTGCTAAAATTTATCGAAATAAACGTTTAAATTCTGATTTTTCAGTGGTTCTTATTACCTCTGATGGTAATGCATGTATCACTTCGGACGGTTTAGTCTTTTCAGTCGACTTTTCAGATGCTTGAATAAAAGACAGCAAAGTTTTGTAGTTCTCCGATTCGAATACTTACCAACAGACTGATCATCGTCTGCTTCACTTTCTTCACTGGTTGCACTCTGAATAAATAACATTACTAGTAATTAACAATTTTGCGATGCTCTACTTTTGATTCTAGTTCATCTAACAACTTTCCAACTGTAGCTCGAGCTACGAAACTGAGTCACACTGTAGCATCTCACAAAAAAATCTTTACCTAGTTTAAAATTATGAGTAACGAACAGTGTTGGCTTACTCAACATCTATGATAGCAAAAACAGTAGGACTTGCTCTGTTGAGTCGCATTTTCTTGAGAATCTTACCTTAGTGGGAATTCCTGTTTCATCATCAGGTGATTGTGACAAATCGATGCTGTCACGACATCTGAAATTTTGTGTGAATACGCTTTTGATATTTGTTTTTTTCGCCTACTTCGCACATGATGTGTATTGTTCAACAGTTTCTATCCAAAATGAACTGTCGCCGTCGTCAATTCGGCCACCGTCACGATACAGACTTTCACAACACGCTGAAATCGTTGTATCAAGAGAACCATTAATTTCAAGTTTCAAATGAAAACGATTATCAACTGAGCGTTGGGATTTAAAGGTGAAGGAATCTGAAACAAGAAATTGAATGTTCAGAAGAAAATGAAACAAACAATAAATTTACCATCCATCTTAAGAAAACCTTTAAACACAATCCAATTAGAACCATTATTAGCTACTTGAAAAATCGTCACTTCATCACGTCTTGAATTGTGCGCTATAGAAGGTAAAGTTGGATTCGATCGATATCTCATAGTTATGAGACAAGAACATTGATTATCTAAAGTTCTTGGTCCAATCATAATCCTCTATACATAATTACAACTCATGCTTGCGAAGAAGTCTTTCAATATTTATAGAAATTCTTTCTCACTTCTGGATAGGTAGATTCAATTCTTTGTTGATTCTGGTTTGACAAAGAAATCTAGAGTAGAACGAGAAAACAAAATATAAATAAACATTCACTAGTATTGTATCGAAAGAAATGACTTACACGAGATGGAACTACAGATGATATTCGATAGCTGTTAGGACCCAATGTCTCTCTAGAACAGCTAAAAATATCCATTGATCGATTAGCAATTCTGAAAGAATCTTATCACTTAAAACAGGTTTATGGATGCAAAGGGATAAATTAAAAGATGTTTTTGTCGTTCGAAATAATTTACTTGCTATTTTCCGTTGAAGGTTGCAATTGTGAAATGGATAGAACCGTTCCAGATGAAACTGAACATCTCTGACCAAGAATGAATAAAGATTTACCCGTAAATCTTTCCGATGATTCGGCTGAATGCGTCTTTTTTTTTGCCGATTTTGATAGCCAATGATCCCTAGATATTAAAATCAAATCAAAAAGATAAGGAAGATGCACAAACCAATCAGTTAAGTTCGGATATTGAGCCTTGTTTTCACTGGGACGACGTTTTTCATGGATCGGTACTACTTGTTCGAATTGATTGAACTAGAAATCATTTTATTCGTCTTGTTTACAGATACGAAAAATAAGTTTACTGCTGTTTCGCTATCGAGAATAATAGATGGTCGAGGATTCATCGGTTCTCGTCGTCGAGATAATCGAACTGAAGCCATTCTCAATTGAAATCGAAAATCGATCGATTGATCTAAAATCAGGAGTAAATATTCTTCAAAAAATCTCCATAAAATATTTATCAAAATGAATCGATGAATAAAAATCACACATATACGAAAATATCTATGATAACTATTTCTAGTTTTTGTTGGTTTATGTTTTGGCAAATAAACTTTTCATCCAAATTTTTTGTTCTAAACGTTGAAGATATTTTCTTTGCATTTGTATTTCTTCATCATCTGCTTGTCTAGTTAAAAGTAAACGTGTAATGGCTTTTTCCACCGCTTCTTTTGCTTCGTGCAATTGTCCGAGTTCCTCGAATGTTGTTGCCATGTTATAATAGGTTACTGCAACGGTTGGATTTTCATCTGAATGACATTTGAGTTCAATATCAAGACATTTCTGATAATTTTCTAATGCTTCTGAATATTGATGCAACTTATATTGAGCTCCAGCAAGATTATGATATTTTGCAGCTACATCAGGATGATCATTATTCGGATGAAGTTTTTGTTTAATTTGTAAATCAAGTTCAAGATAGCTAACGGCTTCCTTGTATCTACCAAGTTTTATAAGAACCGAGCCAACGTTACCTACGTAAGCAGCGACTGAATCCAGATCAGGATCGGTCGAACTCTTTTGAATTTCATAGGCCTTACGATGATACTCTAATGCTTGTTCATTCAAACCTTGTTTATTATAGATACTTCCAATATTGTTATAGGTTGGTGTTAATCTCACATCGTCACCAGGTAGAACACGTAAATAAACTTTTAAAGCATTTTGAAGATGACTTAACGCTTGTTCATAATGCTTTCTTTCATAATAATAAGTTCCTAATGAATGAAGTAATCCTCCAAGAGTTAAGTTTGTTGCTTCATCTTCCACAGCTTGAGGATCGTCGATTAACATTGAACAAAAATGTTCCATATAACCCGTTAATTCTCTCTGTTTCATCAATTTCACCATGCGTACTAATGGGAAAGGACCATGTACAGCATCACGTAAACCTTTTGTTATCAGTTGACCAGCTTTAAGAATTTCATCATTGCTCGTTAATTCAGCAGTAAATGCTTCTTCATCAATCGGTTCAACTTTATCAACACGGAATATTGTTCCAGCTGTCAAAAGAACTTCATTGGGTTTTGTTGCAACGTCATGTCGAGAAACATCGGTTCCTAAAGCAATCTGAAAATGAACCAATTTCGAATCTGTGTTCGTGGGAGAAGGTTCGATTTTTGATTGGTTTTTATTAACCAAAAGAAATTCATTAAATGATAACAATGCGCCCTGGTTTTTTTTCATCTTATTGAAAAGATCCTTTCGAATTCGAAGTGTTCGATGGACAGTCAAGACGCCTGTATTAATAGGCGATTTCAATTGACAGTGGAGATGTTGAATAAAATATCGAAGTTTAAATAAAATATCCGGATCCAAGACTCGAAATGCTCGTGTCATCATTTTGTATAAAAAGGTTTCGTGCCGTAAATACCAATGAATGGCATCAGCTGGTTGAAAATTATTTTCAAATTCATCAATCAATTTTAATTGAATAATATTATCAGCATATTCTTCACGACAAAAATCGATCATTTCTTTTTTTAGGTTTCTTTTCTCATCGGTTTCTAAGAGAATATCTTTTAATGCTTGAACATAATTCAGCGTACTCATTCCAGCGTAATCTGCAGGGATCGAGCAGATGCTTGTTAAGTCATAAGTGAATAATTGAAGATCGTTTTCTAGTTGTTTACAAAATCTGGTGATATTAGAAAAAGATCCTCGATAAAATTTCGAATCAAATTGATTTTTCTCCGATGAATCAATGACATAAATCGCGAAAAGTAGAGGTTCATCTTGAATAGGTTTTGATAAATTCTCCATACTGGTTTTCGAGAGTATTAAAATAACTCTTTCATTGACAATTTTCTTGAGAAATTCAATGGATTCTTTCGAATTAATATCATCAAAAGTAAAACCCAAATTAATCACACCACGTAGAGTTTGTTGTTCATCATTTGAAATTGGAAGATGATTTTCGAGAATATAACAGAAATTCTCCACACTCTTTGGATGACGTTTCATTTTTGACGATTGATATTGTTGTGTTGATATTCTCATATCTAAATCATACGAAAACAACTGCGGTTATTAAGAATAAAATTCATATACAGCATACTTTGTTTGAAATGAGCTGCGAGCTTTTGTATAAGTCGATCAAAATCTATTCCACCATCAGTGGTAGTGGTTGTCTCGGTTTCATTCGAAACTTGTGGGTTATCTTCAGATTTTTCTGTCAATGTTTGATCTAAAAAAAGTATTTTATACGCATATGATGCGTTATATAAGTTTTCAGGAAACTCAATTGTTTTTCGGACACTAAACCGATTTCTGGAAAGTAGATTTGATTTCCGGAAATCGAATTTACTTGGCGGAAGCAAATTTACTTTCCGGAACCTGCACTCAGTTTCCCTAGAATGCGGCCATGGACATAACGGATATAATCATACGATGCCCTATATGAGTTTCCAAGATACTCCACAACTTTTCTGACAGCAAATGAATTTCCAGAAATCGACATGGACTTGCTGCAGACTACATAAATTTCTGAAGACCAAAAAATGCACCAGCGGAGCAACTCAAAGAGAATCTCTCTCGATGACGGTACGAGGAAAAGATTCACGGGGAATCTCTCTCGATGAGAATGGGGTAGAATGTCTGTTTTGATGAGTCTGGCATTTTTGACTTCGCTCATAATGTTCAAAATGCCCTTTATCGCCGTTATGTCCAATATGTCGATATTCTTTACTTGGCAACAAAGTGGATGATAATGATTTGCCTGAAAACTAATACAACGCATCGAATTTTTATAGGACTTTAAGTTTGAGAAGTTATTATTCGTACCTGTTGCTTGAATAGTTGAAACAACCGGAGTTTCTTTTGTATGGATTATACCTGATTGGATTGTTGTACTTTCTGCTGATTGGCCTGGCTCCAAGAGATTAGGATTAACTGTTATCATTGTCTCTAAATATTGATATGACTATGATAAGATCTCCAGAGTGATTTCCGATTGTTTCCACAAACCTGTATGATGGACGTGAGACGCTTCTACTGACTTTGGGCTTTTATACTTCGAAGCCTGTGCATTGAGAATGAAATATTAACATTATTCATATAAAATCACGATTCATTTACTTTCTTCTGCTGTGAATGTTTGTTGGCTGACGCTTTTTCTTCGATATGATCATCTATCAAATCAAGTAGACAAAACACTGATTTGGTTACAGTCAATCACATTAGACTAACCTGTCGATGATGGCTTCGCCATGTTGTTGGATTCATCATGATATTGAGAGAATTTTTTGTTTCTCTAAAATAATAAAATGTGCTCTGAGGAATATATTCGATATAAAACTTGAACTCACATGAACTAATAATGTATTTTTAGCATTATTCAACAGTAGTTTATCCGCATAATCTTTTCGACATCTGAAACAATAAACTAAAATTTATTTTGAGCACATAATAATCCACTAATGTACTTTTCACATGGATTCGCTTTTTGAATATCTTTAAAGAGAAACTTTTTCTGATCATTGTCATTTGAATTTATTTGGACACATTTCAATTCACAACATTCGCTTATTACACTATCGATTAATCCTTGCACATAGAAAGCTAATGACAGACTGGATGTCGGTCGGCGTTGGGATTTGAATGAAAAAGTTTCTAGAGAAGATGATGGTTTTCTATTTATTTTACTCCTTAACATTCGTGATTACCGCCTTTGTTTAAATATCCTCGATACACCAGCGAAGTTTCACCACTACTATGTCGTTGCATCACAATGATTTCTTCACGACTGGCTTTTTCCGCAGCGACTGTCGTTGTCGATGCGTAAGACATTGTTATCTCACAGGCCAGACGTTCTTCAATAGATACATTTGACTGATTCGACTAGAATAAAATAGGAAATTTGTAAAAGATGCGATCGTCTGTATCTTTCACCAGTGAGTAGCCCAGTTCGAGTTAGGAACGTAGGGTATGGGTGTGGGTGTGAGTGTGGGGTTAAGACAAGGTTGAGCTACAAGCTCACCCAGACCCCACACACCCACCCCACACCATCACCCACACCCCACACCCATACCCACACCCACACACACCCACACCCACACACCCACACCCGCACACCCACACCCACCCACACACCCACACCCGCACATCCACACCCACCCACACCCTGCACCAACCCACACCGACCACACCCACACCACACTCCCACCCAAAATTTTCACATATGGTAAAAATAGTGTATTATACGTTGCACTTACCTAAACCTTCTCAGGGTGTCAATTGCGGCCCCCGGTTTCCGACAGAGCCGGACACATTCCAATGCTCTTCCGGACCTTTTCCAACAGGTTTCTGCATCTTTTCCGCGGAAACTCGTCAGAAAATACTAAGAACGTGGCAGCAGTATTCCGGCTCAGAAACCCATCGTACCGGAAAAGCTCATTATACGACAGAATTCCGTACCCCAAAACGACCGGAAACAGCTTCGTATCCTGCAGCAAATTTTCAGTAAACTTGCGGAAAGCGGCAACGATAAAGAATCCAAACTAAATCAATAAGAACAAAACACGAACAACCACGGAATTTCTTCGCAACTCCAAAGAACCCGTCGAGAATCATATATTTTTCAGCCTCCGAAAACACATCACAATCCGTAACCATCCCCTTTTAACCTACATTATCGGGGGAAGCGGGGGGAAGGGCGTCCATGTGTCTCCATGTCGATCAAAAGCTGAGCAGTACGGATGCTGCTATCAGTAGGGGTGAGAAGTTATTGTTATTTTTTGTTATTAATAACAATAACAATAACAAAAAAAGTTATTGTTATTTTTTGTTATTAATAACAATAACAATAACAAAAAAATAACAAATAACTTTTTTTTTCGAAAAATCTTAGTTATGCTTTGTTACTATGTAACAGTATACCAGTTCTATTTGCTCATTATTGTCCAATTGCTCGATGATGTTACTGACTGCAATCTCCGTTAGATAGCCTATGAAACGAGAAAAATCCTAAAAAGATCTTTTCAAGTATCTTGCTCACCTACAGGTAAAATTTACTAATCCGTTTACGAGGAACGTTTCCTCAATGTTCGATTGCTTCTGACTTGATGTTTTGGTCAAATAAAAGTCTTTGCGAAATGAGATTCTAGGTGCCATTTTTCGAGTTATGATCTGTACAATCTTTCTAGACATTTTCTCATCTCCCAAAGGCTTATATTTGACCAACGCATCAAGTCAAAGACAATTGAGCATTGAAGAATCGTTCCTCGTAAAGCGATCAGTAAATTTTGCCTATAGATGAGCAAGAAACTTGAAAAGATCTTTTTAGAAATTTTCTCAGTTTTATAGGCTATCTAATGGAGATTGCGGTCAGTAACAACATCGAGCAATCCGACAATAATGAGCAAACAGAACTGGTATACTGTTACATAGTAACAAAGCATAACTAAGATTTTTCGGAAAAAAAAGTTATTTGCTATTTTTTTGTTATTAATAATAAATAACTTTTTTGTTATTGTTATTAATAACAATAACAATAAATTCACACCCCTAGCTATCAGTGAGCGGTGATGGCGTGACTTTCCGTGCCTATACAACAACATAACGACACCCACCAACATACAACTAACCAAATCCATCGACAGTGACCCACATCCACCGACAGTCGAGCTCCGACATCCACCTACACTCACTGACATCAGCCCCAAGCCACCGACATCCAGCCACACCCAAGGACACCCACCCACCGACATGAACCGCAAAAACCCACACTGTCAGGCACACAACATCACCATCGCCACAACTCAACAAAACAACTCTATTGCATCAAAATCCCATTGAAGACCACAAACAGTCAGTCATAGACCACTACTATGTCCAGGACCTAGCCACTAAAGCACAACACCGGAAAACAGGCCAGGTAATACCACATATCATACCACAGCGGCGACCGAGCTCTCCAGAATTCTTTGTCCCCACTCCACCACCC